TTTAGATATCTGGAGAACCATTAACTTTGTTAGTTTCTACAATTTACTTTTGCAATATAATATAGATACTTTTATAATAGAATATAGATACTTTTGCAATAGAATATAGATACGTTTGAAATAGAATGTAAATAATTTTGCAAAAAAGAATATACGTCGTTTTGCAATACAACGAAGGATAAAGTTACAATTTTAAACTTTCGAAGATCAGTGTATTTATTTTGACGTGTGTCGAACTTTCGAAAAATTGTGGCAACAATTATCACGATTGTGGATGTCTACCACCTCGAAAGCAATGTACATCCGTTATCCGTGTTTCAATAGTGCAATGCCTCGACGGGAAAGTCATTAAGACATTAAGGAACTTACAAGACTCTCGGATTGGCTACGGTTTCCGCGCTACGCATCGTTGTTTTAATGCCAACAGGTGCGGAACACCGCAAATTACCAATGCTGCAACCCTGTATCTAGCGTGGATTGAGTATATGGAGTGGCAATCAATTTGCGACATTGAAAACGCTTCCACTTGAGGTCGTCGATCATTTTCCGAGTTCTGGTGCAATGAATATGGAGAGTAATGACTGGACTGTGTGGATTTTGTGCATTTATAGGGAATATAATTGTCTATTGAAACTCAGTATATAGTAGGAAATATTAATATAAATTTATATTTAATTATAGTGTCTGTAAATCAATCCCTAAAAGTCCATTTTTCCATAAACTGTTTACTGCCTATTAAAATTTTCAAATTCTATTATTGCACAAAACTAGTGGAAATTCCATAGTAAAGATTGCAGAAGAGGGAAATATGTATATTGACAAAGTGGCGACAAGAAGGATCATTGAAACACGGTCGAGGAAAAATTGTGAGATTAATAATTCATTTCTGTCTGCGTTTTGGTAACAACAAGCACGAGTGCTTACGTTATAGGAATGCATTTTGTTAAATCATTCATGAAGAACCGTTCCTTGTTTTTCAAACTTGACTTTTTTCTGATTATTTTTGTTCTAGAAATTGAAGATTGAGGAGAAAAGATTTTTCCTGAATTCTTCTGTTGGATTTACAATCTATTACTTTAATATAATCGTTTTATTTTAACCAAAGACGGTACTCTATACACGAAGTGTGGAATACTACAATGTTGACTAGAACCTACTATATTTTTGTAAATCAATTAGCAAAGTACAAAAAAATGAAGGGGGTCAGTTTTACCGACTCCATATAACGGTCATTTCGAGAAAACCAACAATATCCACGGCCTCTTCTTCGTGGTGTGCACTACGCATCGTTTCCACGTACCATCCTGTTTATGCACTTTATTAATAACCAGGGATACTCGAGTCTCTCCTTGAGTAAGGTTCAAAGTGACTTGCAGTCATAGGCGTAGTCAGAAGGGGGTAGTAGGGACACGAGTCATGTAGCAGCTGAATTGTAAAAAAGAAAAAATTAATTTCGGTACGATTTTACACGTCACATGTAATTTATCAAATGACTTCCATATTAAGTAATTTTCTTCAGTATACCTTTTTCTTCCCGAGTTTATGTTAAGCTTGCAAGCAACTTCAATTAGTTTCCTTTTTTAGCGTAGCATTATCCAATATACACGTTAACCGACTTTTTTTTTTCGTTCCACGTGCGATTGCTGTCAGCAAAAGCAATCATCACGATGATCACGACACAATCTTAAGTTATAATTGTCAGAGATCACGGGGCGACTGGTATCTCATCCTTCTCAACGAAAACGCGTTTCGCACCACTGGAATATCCATATCCTGTGACTCAACGTGTTTATGATTCACCGAACCGCATTGCGTATGGCTGTATCACTGCTGGAAAATTTGAGCGAATTTGTATAATAAAAATATAGTAGGTTCTTAGAAACAAAATCGTATCGATAATGGTCATTGTATCGATACTTTCCCTTATAGAATACCTGTACTGATATAAAATGTCCGAAACGGCATTTCATTCGATTGCGAAACCCTGGGATTCCCGTAGTTATAAACAAAGTCTGTTGCACGCGAGAAAATGCAGTTTGGTAATAATCGTTGGCAAATGCGGCTGACCCGATTTCTAGTCCAATTTCACACTGTTCGGTACCGGAGGAACGATTCTTGAGCGGTGTATCGCTTTTAAAATCGGCTTCTTCCTACGTTGAAACTGATACATGTGAAAACTGTGTCGATGGAACAGTGACTATACAACGAACAAGCGCGAAAATTCCTCTGAACTGGTCCCTGGTGATTTCAATGCCTGGTCAAAGAGAGTTCTCGACGCCTTCGATTTACATAATCGTCGCTCGTGCCTTTTACGCACGCTGTCCATGGAAAAGTAAAACCGAACGACAGGGCACAGAGATTGGGTAAATTCAATTAACACTAGAACTACCAACGATAAACGCATATCTTTTTCGATAAATATGGCAAACTTTTGAAAATTTACCTGTAAACATCACAATGAATGAACACTTTTAAAGTCGAATTTTAAATGGTAGTAATGGTAATAAATATTTGGCACAATTATTATTATATTTTTACTAACGACTATGATATTTGTAAACACAAAGCACTGCCATTATTTCGGATCATTTGAAAAACTCTGGGCTTTGTACACTGATCAATTATTTCGTAATGTTTCCTCGATCTTATCCTCCTCTTGGATAGTCTCTATTTTTACCTCGTATTATTAGAATTTATTATTAAGATAAGAAACGCACGTTTCACGTAGAAGAAAATGAAATAAAATGAGAAACAGATACAGATCGTACTTTATTTAAACGCACACGCTAGCGTCTGACGGTTACAAGAAATTCCACCTTTAGCATGTCCCATAAAGTCTTAATGGGATTCAGATATGGGCAAGGACGAATACGATACAGATATTTTCCACAACCAGCGTCGATTTTAAGCAGTAACATCCAGCAATGCATTATCTTGTAGAAACACAAGTTCCCCCTAATCAAATTCATTTAAAAATTAATTTAATTTACTCGGTTTTATATTTAATGTTCATTTACTAGAACGTCTACTGGTGTCTAAAAGTTTTAGACTAAAACTAAACGCGTGTGTTCCTTATGGCGATAAGTAGAAACAGAATGCAATGAACAGACACGCCAGGGTCAGCCCTATTCTATCGCACGCATAGGGTAACGTATAATGTACAGTGATTGACATTTTCAGGACGAGTGTGAAATAATTGATAGAAACGAAGTTTTTATCGCTAAAATCAAAGTATAAAAACCGTTTTTATAGCATTGAAAGTATTTAAAAATAATAAAACGGTTAACATTATGCATTTACATATGCATGAAATGTATTAAAATCATCAGTTATAACTAGACTGCGGATTTTATGTATTTATAGCTTATGAGGCATTGCGAAATACAGTAAAAGACAAAACTCTTATCAGATGCAACGAGGTTTCTATTTTATTCTTAATCCAATAAGATATTTAAGAGAAGAAAGAAATTCCTACTTGTTTTTATGAATCACTTTATAAAATGTTATTTTTAGACTGCCGATTTTTATGCACAATAACATTTTATAAAGTGATTCGTACAGACAAGAGCAGAAGTAGGAATTTCCTTCTTCTCTTAAATACTTTATTGCATTAAGAATAAAATAGAAACCCCGTTGTATCCGATGAAAGTTTTGTCTGGTTATAAGCAGAGATGGGCAAATTCGTTATTTAGCTGCAAAATTTCAAATAACGAATAAAAGATAAAAAAAAGTATTTCGCCATTTTTAATAGCATAACCGTGAAAATTTCAATTTTTACAATAACACAATACCTCTTCTCGAATGAGTAGACACTCGGCAAACAATTATTTCATTTCATTAACTGTTCAAAGGTCAGGATGACGATCCCATCTACTGCTACTTTTCACGAATAAAATTGTGCCACTCTGGTTTTTTTCTAGGATGGGGCAAAGGCCATTGTAGTGACTTTCCTATCCACCAGATTTGCCAATTCCGTTATCTCAAAAACGAAACGTCATACGAAAAAATGTAATTCCACATTTTCGATTTATTTTTGCATAATAGAATAACCACCCGTCCAAGTTGTGCCTCCACTGTCTCAGTTCACCCTGTATACGAGACGGTCTATGGACGATCAGGTTTGCCCCCCACTGCAAAACTGGTTTCGGCCATTCCGGCGCGGAGTTCGGAGTCTCAGCTTCGACGGGTTGCACAAGCATTGATTCCCCATCCTGCAGCCGACTGAGTCAGTTCACAGTGGCACTGCGACCAGGCCGCTGGTGAAACCGCGACGCGCCGGTTTCCTTGTTTGTTGTTTCTTCGTTCGTCGGACACGTCTTCAGGTGTGATCCTTTTGGTAGATATCGCTGTGTTTTGTCTTTTAAAGGGAATCTTCATTCGAACCAATAAAAGAAACAGAACATACTTGGTTTGGTGGAGACGAATCTTTACGACCTGAGGCCAACGTGGATCCCTCCAGGTGATAATTTTCAAAGGAATTCCGCAGATTTCGTTGAAGATCTGCAGATCTGAGAAACCGGTATCTCTGTGGAATTTGATAAAGACACTTCGAACAGACACTCCTAAGTTACTTTTTTCTCAAAAGGCCTCTGGTATATGAATGCATCGTGTAAAAGAATTCTGTTAAATTGGATTAGACAGTCCGTTGAAGAAAGACCTTAAATAAGTCTGCTTAACTTGGTGTCATAGACTATTTTTCAAGAATTTAACGGGAAAACTAAGAAGAGACCTAACGGAGACTCGGCTGGGTACCTTGACAGACTTCAGAGAAAGGAATCTATGGAACTTGATTCCATAATCTGTTCCAGGAAGAAGATATTTTAAGGATAGTGAACTTAAACCCTGCGATCTTCCAATAAATTCATTTTGAGGAGGACGTCTATCGATCTTGGCCTAACGAAGGAAGAAATTTTAATATTCTATACTTTAGACAAGATCGATCTTATAGACGAAGAGGTCCTTATAGATCCTTACAGAGTTTTACACGGAAGCCAAGGATATTCTCAGCTTTTCGTGAGGAATACCCAAGGACTGGTTCGCGTGGGCAACCCGATCACCTTGGAATATTAGAAGTGTGGTGCCCGACGAGATTCGTGACGAAGTGTGGTCGAAGTGGAATCTCCCTGGTCCGAGTGGGGTACGAACGTATTGTGGGTTATGAATGTCGAGTTGTTTATGGTGAAAGATCGAGTCGTGCCATGTAATTGATTCGAGGAAAGGAGGCTCGAAGGATTTGTCGTCGATCGTCTGGGGAAGCTGAGGAGGCGCAAGTTCGTAGTCGTTGAAACGTGTTACAGGTTAGTTCCACTCAGAACCAGAGACCCTAACTGTTATGACCACAATTTAATAAGTGACGGTATAAGAGTTAATATCTTTATGCGAATGATTTTGGTTACGAATAACCATTATAAATGATTAAAATTTTTGTTGGTTACCAATAACAATTATCGATGACGGAAATTTTGTTTGGTTGCACGTAACCATTATCGCTGACGAGGATATTATTTTGGTTACCGATAATCATTATCCATGAGGAGAGTTCCATTTTGGTTACTTTCGACCATTGTCAATTTTTATTAACGTTGTTACCAGTAACGTATCTATATTTTAACTTAAAATATATAAATTCTATAATTCATTTTGCGTCACTGATAGGTACGTCAATAAAAATTGTTGATGTTGAAAGTAACCAAAATAAAACTCTCGTCATGTATATTGGTTACCGCGTAACCAAAAAAATTTCCTGTTATCAATAACGGTTGTCTGTAACCAAAATAATATTCTCGTCACCGATAATGCTTACGTGCAACCAAGAAAAAATTCTGTCATTGATAATGGTTATTCGTGACCAATATAATTTCCGTCGTCGATAATTGTTATTGGTAACGGTGCACCTGAATTGTTAATTGCGCGAGGAGTTATTGTCATGAAGTAACGACCGCGATGCATGCGTTTCAACCGAACCACCTCGATTTCAGGAACGCCGTCAGCACACGCCACACGTAACAAAATATTAAGGCAAAATAATATTTCATAATCGCTTGAAAAGCAGCTCAACTTTCACGGTGCCGTAAAGATAATTTAAATCACGAGCGGCTTGAATTTAATTATCGCATCGTAGCGCCAATTAGCATAAGACACGTGCTGATAGTATGGTTACGCAGGTTGTACGGTGTACAATAGTTGCGTACGAACACGGAAGCGGTGGTTCAAGGGAAAACATAATATTCCGAAAAGAATCTGTTACTGTTCCATATCTACAGAAAAATCGAAGATAGAATATTTTTATCATCGATCAGATTTAGAATATCGTATATGTATACACTACTGTCTTAAATCGAATAAATTCAAAACTTCTGAACAGTTCCATAAAATGTCCGCTAGGTTAAATAGATAAAGAGAATAGAGGATGTAAATTTCTATTTAAAAAAATTTTTCTTTAGCAATTACACTACAAAAATGTTTTTCTTTTTATGTTAGGTATGTTATGTACTGAATATATTAATTCAGTGGACTCTAACGATATTGCCACTAAATATATTGCCACACGGGGCACTTACCCTCCATACGTACTTTCACGCACAGAAATTGCATACGTCATGACGACAGAACTTAACACGGAGAGGACTCTCGACTCATTGCCACTGTATTCCCCTATCGCCCCGCCCATAGCAATATATCGTTAAAGTCCACTGTACTTTTTTCCTCCCAATTTATGCATGTAAATGTGAAACTTCCATGGCTGGTTTAAGTGTTCTTGAATAAATCAAGTAGAAAAGTTTTTGAGTATTTTTATAAAGTAGTTCGCAGAATTTCCATGAAGCAAATACAGAAGTTCAGTCAACTGACTCGTCTCTACCCGATTGAAATGTTAATTCCGTGGACTCCCAGCACGATACTCGGCAAAAATTTTTCTTACCGCCATCTTGTCCGCTCCGAGGTCGAGTCCGGACGGCCTTGAACTATACGACAGGAATAATATATTTTTTGACTTTGCGTAACCTTCGTGGAATAATGAATATGTCAGTGACAACAAAAGACACATTACCCGTGATACCAAACGAAAATGCTGCTTATGATTACGAGAATAATTTTATTCGCAAGGGGAAAACGAGATCACGGAGATACTTAATATTGCAAAACGATCGTGACTCGTTCATTTGCATTTTCGGTGGCTGCGGAAACGATTCGTTATCCTGTTTTTTTTTTCGGTGATCTTGTCCAGTGACGCGCGGTTTATTAATAATTATTGTCAGTAATTGCTGCACGCTCTTCGATCGCGATCCCCTCACCTTGAATCGAACCGAACCGCTTTTTTTCTTTGCGATTTTATGACAACGTTCGAGAAGCAATCTTGACGCAAACAATTCTAATGAGCCTCGTCGCGTATTCTACGAACGTCGCGCGGATCCATCGACGTAATAATGATGGTAATGATCGTAAAAAATACGATCACGATGCCACGGAAATTGGATCTTTATCAATCAGACATCACGGGGTTTCCGGAGTTTTTTTATGTAACTTGTGTACAGGACTTTTTTTTTTGGTCACAGTATGTAATAATAACAACAATATGGCTTCAGTTTAATATCTACAGACTTCTATATTATACAAGGTGATACGAAAAATTGTTTACAACTTTGAAAATATTAATCTTTTAGCCCATGGTTTATTAGGACCTTATTCATCAATGGCAAGTACCTACTATCTACCCTAGAAGTTGTGAACCCTTTTTTTCTATCACGCAATGTGATAGATGTACAGTGGACTCTAACTATTTCCATGGTTGAGGCTGTAGGGGACTAAAATGGCAATGAGTTCAGAGCCCCCTCCTAAAATTGACACTATAGTTGACACTATATACAACATGCCACAATAATTCTGCCGTTTAAACTACAATACAAAAGGGTACGCTATCCAAATAGAAACCTGATAATATATTTTCTTGGTTACACGAGGATTTCTCTAGTCACCTTTATTTCCTTAGCGCTCGCCGACTCGCGGTTGCGAAAGAGATGCGCCTATCTAAGGTTACGTCTAATCGCTTTCCATTTCTTTCGACTTTCGCGCAAAACTCAGCTCGTTTCTTTTCAATGAACTTGCTCGCCGTCATCCGTACGGGGATCGAGGATATGGTTTGTCAACCGCGCCGTTAACGCGAGGTCGCGACTTTTTATGAGTTCTGCAACAGGTAAACAAGATCTCACTTTTTTTTTTTTACTACACTTGCTTGAACGGCTAATTATTGCTGGCGTCGGTATGAAGTGTTATATTCGTCGGTGACTTTGGTGAATCACTTGGAATGAATTACTTAACGGTCTCGATAAACAACATTTGAGTGGGACAAACAACGTACTTAGTTGAAGAAAGAATTTCTTAATTGATTTTTCATTAATTTATATATTGGCTGAGATGAAGTATATTAAAATTAGTTTTGAGAGAATTTGTTATTTACATTCGAAACAGCGGTAAATAATCACTTATTTTTCGTAAAGCTGATGCGTGCACGCGAGGATTAAATTTCTGAGTGTGGGCCGATCGGGGATCATCGAGAAATGTCAAAACGCAGACGGTGTTGCGTCAGATTTGTTCACATTTGTTTCAACGTTATCTGATGACTCGACACGATGACTGGTAATTAATAAATTTCGCGATGATCGTGTTTCCTCGCAGCTCGAAGCTATATCCACGAGCGGAAAAATGTATATCCGAAATTTCGATCGATTGCACAAATCGTGTTTTGTGTATAACGTAAGCTGGAATTTGGATCGTCTGAAACAATAAAGAATTGGAAAACGGCAGCGTGGTTAGGAACAGTAGAATGCCTGGCGTGTAATAATATATGAAAATACAAAAACAGATAAGATGGAGCAATAAGATTGGTGGTATTTCGAAAATAATGAAGAGAAAAAAATGAAGATGACTTTAATACCACCAATTTTATTGCACCATCGTATCAGTTTTTGTATTTTCATAATATAGAAATAGTGAAAAAAAATTGTTAATTTCAACTTTACTCATGTGAAAAACGAGTGACTATAACAATTTCGCAGTTTGCTTTCTGTTCAATTATGTTTTAGTTTTTTTTTTTAAACAAACGTTATAGTTATTTGTTTAAACCAATGTGTACGTTTTCTTCAATAAATCCCAAAATGCTACCACTACCACCCCCAAATGCAACCAAACACAAAATTTTCCATTGGTATGGAATAATTATAAGAAATCATAAAAAAAACATGGTGACTTTATTGAAATTTCGGTCAGTGTACGGACAGAACAGGTAATATTCAATGAATTTAATAGCGTGTGAACGATGGAAAGAAGAAGCTTGAAAATGTATAAAAGTAAACCGAGCCCAAAATCGGTCCATCGACAGCCTCCAGACGTTCGCGTCGTCCTTGAAAGGAATCCAGCGTGGAACGCCCATTAGGGTTCGTTCGAATTCAAATTACACAACAAGGTCATCTGTTTCGAAAGGGACAGTGGAACGAAAAAGAGTCGTGCGGTAAAATGTATACATAATATGTACAAAATAAACCAGAAAGAAAAGGTCAGCTTCGATTCGATCGATCGGGCCTCTTCCAGTCCAGCATCAGAAATCGAGGAACGCGATCGGAACGAAAGGCGGTTTGCGTGTGTGTTGAAAACCGCTTCTCCGACCTGCTGGACCTATGGGAAAGATAGGTGAGAGTTTGTCACGTTGTTACATCAGTGGAAGAATTACAAAACACCTTCGATTGCGTGCACGAGCCGGGCAACGATTACCTCTGTCCTTCACGCAAACATTTCTACGCAGGATTCAGATTTTTGGACCATCGAAGAGCCTCCTAGCGGTATAATATAATTAATATAATATATGGCGGTGTAACGTAACTTCCGAACTTTCCTTTCGAAAAAGAAACAGAAGAACAGCAATTTATTATCTTACATCTTGAACCATTCGTCGAATCATTATTACAGAACCTTATTTATTGCGAAATATAATTTTCATCGTGTTGCATCGGTTTTACCTAATACTATTGGTAACAGTTCGCAAAATGGTTAAAGCAATAACGTCGTTGGATGACTTGCTCTTTACACATAGGAGTGCACGTGGCACGGAGACAGGTGAGGCCCGGTATAGGTAGTAGTCGAGAGCACTTTTACCTGCCCGTTGTGCCTCTTACTCACCTGATACTCTAACTAGGAAGTGCCTAAAACGTTTACAGAGAATTAAAACATCCAGCCTCGCAAAACTACTGCCTATTGGTCAGGAAGAAAAATTAATGATTTTTTTCCAAAAAATGTTTAAAATAACTGTTACTTTTTGTCTCTGAATTTTAAAGTGCACAACAAAGCATTTAAATTAAAAATGTAATCCTTCTGGCAAAAAGTGCGTTGATTTTCATTTAAAAGATTATAATAGTCGATTGGTCATTGTTACAGAAATGGAGGCAGCAAGTACTCCGCCGTCAGGACCGACGGCCTCCTTGGAGCTGAAAACAAGAAGGGCTCAGTTTCAAACGCAAGCTTCCACGTTGGACACGAGACGAAGGCAAGCGGTATGCGTGCGAAGAGCGTTCAAGAAGTATGGCCCCAAAAGCAACCCCAATATTATCCTAGATGGACTGAATATGACTGTGCCGAAAGGTGCAATGTAAGTATTATTGTTAACAATTTATAGTTTTTAATCGATTAAAGGACCAAGCAGCGAAATAATACGATTTTGACATATAACTAGACAGCAGAACCATTACAACGGTTTCCAGTTCTGTTTCAACAATATATTAACACATTCCATCGTAAAGGAACACACAAATATCAGAAGATATCGTTAATAAAAAGAATACCGTTTAACAAAGAATTATTATTATCAAACAGAATAATATTCATTTCATAATTTCTAATAGGTCTTACATTTTGATTTATTATTCTGCTTTGAAATCTAAAGTAATATTTCAATCGTAATTTACATTTAATTGTTCAATCAGTTCTATCCGAATCTCATCGATCATATCCATCTGGTCTGATCGCTGCAATCGCTCAAAATGTTCTGCTTTTTACAGCTGGATAAGTTCACGTATCGCGTCACGTTTTCTCAGGAATATAGATTAATCAACGCGTATGCATTTTTTTTGGTCGACCAGCTGATCGTTTAGAATTCTTGGTCTCCGTATAATGAATTCTAAGCATCGATCAAACTGCGTTTCGACGAAACGCAAAGTTCATTGGTGAATAAATTGACAAGGGTTCATCGCGATGGCTTGATCAGAAAAAGTTTTATGTGATTACCGATTACATTATCTTCTTTTTTTGCCACCGGTGAAGCTGGTCACACTGTGAATGATAAAACAGATTTTTATGCTATTTAATATTATTACAAAAAATCGTCGGTCGTGCCTATTAAAAAATAATTTATTTGGTACTGTATCAATTTAACTTCTGGGGATAAAAATAGCAAATATTCAGAATTCCTGTAATAAATCACATGGAAATAAATTATTTGGGTTCGAAGATATCAATTTCATTCCTTCCGTGGGATTAATGTTCATTAAAATTCATGAAAGGTAGTCTAGTATTTATTTTCTTTCGATTGAGCTTAGTCAGTGTATTCTATTAACGATGAGAATATAGAAAAACAGTTGCTAAACATTGTTCCATCGAAGAAAAACAGAACAATCAGATAAATTTCATTCGTTGATAAATATTTAGCAAAAAATATTTTTACGGAAGTATTTTTCATATTTATAATAGTAACAAATTCAATATACATAATTAATTGTGTAGATTGTATAATTCTTGCCGCTTTTACATGTACGATATATGGTCCGACTGGCACGAATCATTTGAACAAACGTTAGGGCTGGAGACTTTCATGCTCGCATAAACGGTATCTTTAATTAAAAAATTAATATTCTAAAACTTTCACGTATCTGGCAGACTATAATACAATACAAAAATAAAATGTATTTTGTGATATAAAAAAAATTGTCTAAAACTGAATAATGTTTCCAGTGAAACTTACTATCCGCAGCTAAAACATATACATACATCTCGAATGATAATTATTATTAAAAAACTACGTTTATCATACAAAAAATCATAGACAGCAAAGAAACTATTATATTATTCTCGATTTGTACTTTTCATTTCCCTTATTCCTTATATCCGCCTGTCATCTTCTGTTCATTTCAATTACAAAAAAAAAAGAAGATTCTGCAAGTAATGCATGCCAATAGATGTAACAAGCTCGTTCTGAGAACTCTTTAAACCGTATTTGTTTTTTATTGGAATATAAATTACGTGTTAATAACACCTACTGTAACAAACCTACAGCAGTAATAATGTTTACTACAGAAATTTTTAATTTTCTTAAAGGGAAAGTGCTATGAAATAAGATAAAATATTTAATTCATTATTTGACAAATTTCTACTATAACTTAAGATTAAATATTTGATCCATAACTTGCTAATTTCTTTGTCTAGATACGGTCTGCTTGGCGCAAGTGGTTGCGGAAAGACCACGTTGCTCTCCTGCATCGTCGGTCGAAGGCGTTTGAATTCCGGCGAGATCTGGGTGCTCGGTGGTCGACCAGGATCCAAAGGATCCGGTGTTCCTGGGCCCCGTGTTGGTTACATGCCGCAAGAAATCGCTCTCTACGGAGAATTTTCCATTCGTGAGACTTTCATTTATTTCGGTTGGTGCGCTGGAATGACCACCGAGCAAGTGGACGAAAAACTGGAGTTTCTCATGAAGGTGAGTTCCTAGCTCGATTTGCATTACAATGAAATTTTTACGCCACAACGTGGTTATACAATTTTTCTCTTCGATTAAAATCTGCTCTGGTTTATGGATCGATATATAAAAACTGTTTCTAGTGAATAAAGCAGCGGTAAGGATGATGCGTTCAATTTGTTTTTATAACAACTGGTTTAGGTTATTGGTGTGAATATTTGTTCGCGAGCAAGTAGAAATACACCATTGAGATTAATTAGAGACTTTTTCTTTCGTTGGTAACCGTAACAATTTTCATAAATAAATTGATAATTCCGTGACGGGGAAAAGAAATCGCTTGTGGTCTACTAAAATTTGAAATTTCGATACGATTTACAATTCGTCGATTGTTCAACAAAAATTATGAAGAGTTTCAACTGAAAAATGGCTGCTACGTTGGAACACACCAAATATTTACCGTTCACGGAGAAAACGATGGACTTTGGAATACACTCGATATTTACCATTTACGAACAAAATGCTGGACTTTGAAATACGCCTAGTATTTACCATTTACGAGGAAAACATTGGCTATATAACGATCACGTGGATATTCCCTTCAAATTAAATTCAAACGTATACGATTCATGGATAATAATGCTTACCCGTCATGAACCGTAACGTCAATATCAGCGCGACATTTTTATACGGTCGATGGACCGCAGTTGTAAAAATTAACTAAAATCAACATCAAACAAATAGAATAGTGATTGACGGGGAATCGTTCGAAACAGTTGTTGCAGTTGCCCCCGGAGAATCGTTTCGTGAAGAACCTGTCCGGCGGCCAGCAGAGGAGGGTGTCCTTCGCGGCGGCTCTCCTCGCCGATCCGGAATTGTTGATCCTGGACGAGCCGACCGTGGGCGTCGATCCTGTTCTCCGTCAGAGCATCTGGGACCATTTGGTGCACATAACCAAGGACGGCAATAAAACGATCATAATTACCACTCACTACATCGAGGAGACAAGACAGGCCAGTATCATTGGGCTGATGAGGGGCGGCAAATTCCTCGCTGAAGAGTCGCCCACGAAGTTGATGGAGATGCACAATATGGAAACCCTCGAGGATGTCTTCCTGAAGCTGAGCAAAAGACAGAATATGGGACTGCGAAGAAGGAGCAGTATATTGAGCAGCGTTACCGGCGTTCCACCGGAAGTTGTACGTTTCTCATTACGTATTGTCATAATTCGACTGCGGATGTTCATGCTAAATGAAAGTTGTCTGAATAAATATAAATTTATTATTTATCGTGGAATAATTAAGATGATAAATTTACTAAAATTATTTTAATCGTTTTCTAGGATGTGGATGACGAAATGAGTGGAGAGTTCGGTGACAACGTCAGTCTCTCCAGCCGAAGGAAAAGCATCGCCCTCGGGGACGATGGAAATGTGATTATGATCTTTCTCTTAGCAAAATTGTATGTTCCTTTTTGAAGTGTATTACATATATTTTGAGTAAATAGATTCCAGAATTGCCGCCAGAAGAAACTGGTCCCTCCAAGTTCCAGATGCTTGACCCTCAGCACATGAAGGCTCTTATATGGAAGAATTTCCTGTGGATGTGGCGTAACGTAGGGCAAGTAAAGTTAAAAATTACGAAACGATATTAAATGATTGTAAACAGATGTGAATACTTCAGAAACATTAAATTTACAAGAATATCTTTAATAAGATAGAAAACTGGATTCACAGAACGCAATAATAGAAGCGGGAAAAGAATATAATACAGTATTACATAATATAATAATAAATATAAATTAGTGGTGAAAAGGCAGAAACAAAGGATAAACGAAACAACTATAAAAAAGGAAGACAAGTTGGGAAGTTAAACCACCAACTGCAGAACCCAATACATTTCTTGTACTACATAATTCCAAAAGAGTAACTTAATTAATACCTTAAATTTTTTAAAACGTCGACACGATATTGACTGTGTTATTCAGGATCGGTGATTAATATTTAAAATGTTTTGTTGCTTTCAGAATAATGCTGTTCATCATAGGTCTCCCGGTTGTCCAAATTATCCTGTTCTGTGTCTCGATCGGGAAAGATCCAACCGGTTTAACCATAGCGATAGTCAATAACGAACTGAACAACACCATGGACCCGTGTGTGCCGTCGGTTGGCTGTGACTGGTCGAGATTAAGCTGTCGATTCCTTGAACACCTTGAAAGGAAGTCGCTAGTGTTCGAATCGTACAACAACGACGCCGACGCTAGAAACGCCGTTGAACGAGGCTGGGCCTGGGCTGCCATATCTTTTCCGTCGAATTACAGCGATTCACTGTCGGCGAGATTGGAGGAGGGTAAAGACGCCGATGACTGGAGCATCGTGTACTCCAATATGCAAGTCGTCATGGACATGTCCAGTGAGTGGATATTGTTTTTTTTTATACAGTGTGTAATATCAGCAACTGAAACTTTATAAGTTTAATTAAGTTAATATTTTTCACTTTCCTTCATGTAATATTACATATTTTTTGAAGTACATACTGTTTCCTTGAAGTTAAATTTTACAATTAGAAACTCAAATTTCGTTTTTCGTTATTTATTCAGATCAGCAGATCGGCCAACTTCTTCAAAGGGATCTTTACAGCTCCTATCAGGATTTCGCGCGAGAGGTGACCGTAGCCTGCAATTACAGCAACAAATTAACAAACATCCCGTTAGACGTGAGTCAGAATATTGAAAAAAAATGCCAGCATAAATTGATCGATAGGTCATGTTGATTAATATACATATACATTGTGGTTAATAGTTTAAAACGCCTGTCTATGGACCTCTGGAACCGAATTTCACGGACTTCGCGGCTCCTGGAGTGATCTTGACGTAATAATTAATTGTCACAAAGTAATATCATTGTGAAAACTATAAATTAATAATCGTATTAACGTTTTAGAATCATCTTCTTCTTGTCGGTCGCTCTAACTTCGGGCGCCATGTTGCTCGAAAGGAACGAAGGTCTTTTGGAGAGGAGTTTAGTCTCTGGTAAAGGAACAATTTATTAAATAAAGAATAAATCGGATCAACGATATACTGACTGTTCTTTTTATTTCACAGGTCTCACTGGAACAGAAATCCTGTTCGCACAGGTCATAACGCAATTCGTGGTAATGATAGGGCAAACAGTGATGGTTTTGATATTTTCCTTTGCAGTTTTCAGGATCACTTGTGTAGGCGACATAGGTTGGATCAGCGCACTAACGATTCTTACAGGACTCTGTGGAATGTGTTTCGGTACGAAGAACTCTCATAATGATTTGTTATGTTATTATTCATCGGGAAAAACGTTCGCGTGACGTTATACCCTCGTGAGCACTCTCTGCTCCCGCTAGGGGAAAAAGCAACCTAGGAGTAAGAGCCTCCTGATTAATTTATTTCAAATACTGAAATAAATGTTAGACCAAATGTTAATTTGGCATAAATTTCATTTATGTCTTTCATTTACAATTAAATGATAGACGGCTTTTTTTTTTTTTCTTTTTCTTTTTCTTTTTTTTTAGTCCTGGGTTGGGACTCCAAGGTAGTGTGGGACTACCACGTACTAAAGCCCCCGCGGCAGCCTACTCGGGCGGAACTCGGCGGTGGTGGGATCTCGTTTGAACGCACCGCCACCACCGCGCCTATGCTCCCCTTGTCGGGGAGCCCGTGCCGTGGGGGCGATCGAACGCCCCCCTCAGGTGACCAGTACCCTGGTCACCCCCCCCTTCTCTACTCCGCCGGCGTCAGAGGACTGCACTCTGACGTCGGCACTACCGGGCCGTCTTGGATGCAGTCGGGGACTCTACCCCGACTGCATCAGCGGCCCCGGCGGACGCGTGCGCGAAGGCGGGAGCCACAGGAGCCGAAGCTCCGGCTCCCGATGTCCACGCACGGGACTATAATAGACACCTTAAACTATCGTAACTTGCCTAACACATAACTCTATTCAATCACGTAACGACATCTATGCCACCTTTTAATATTTTTAGGGACATGTACACTCCATTAATAATAAAAATCTAGATAATCACCGTACGAAAATATATTGTACAATGCAGTAGACATTTGGTCGCCATTTTGAAAACGCTCGCGGGTAAAACATAGATAGTCGAAATTGGCGGAAAATCAGCTGAAATAACGTTGAATTTGTTAAATACTAATAGAGATTTGGATGAAATTTATCGTCGACCAAGAGGAAACCACACGAACGTTTTCCCCAACCTAACATTAAGATTGATCTCTTACATTTATTTATTTATCATCAGGATTCGTCATTGCTTGCGTCTGCGAGAACGAAAGAAGTGCCACCTACGTGGCGATGGGATCTTTCCTGCCCATTATGATGTTATGCGGGATTATTTGGCCCATCGAGGGGATGCACTACATATTGAGGTACATCAGTTTTATTCTGCCTCTGACGAAGAGCACGGAATCGATGAGGGCGATGCTGGCCAGGGGCTGGCCGATTTCAAATCCGACCGTTTACAACGGCTTCATCGCCACTTTCGTTTGGATATCCGTCTTCATGACACTCTCGATATTGTTGATTAAATTTAAGAAAGGTTAAAAACGGCTTTGGTACATTAGTTACACGTCGTGTACATAAAAATATAAATAGATAGAAACTTTAGGAAAATTTTACAAATACAAGGGACGTGTCCCGTAAATCGTGGTACAATCGAATCGGAGGTGTTCCCTACGCGGGAAATGAACATAAAATATACAATAAACATTTTTTTTTATTCAAGCTTACATTTTCGAGACGATCTTAAGTCTATTACTGGGCTCGTTCGTCTGTCCATTAATGATTATACTTATTTATGCTGATGGTTATAAAAATTGCTAGTGATGAGACTTGATTATCACTTTTTCGTAATGGTTTGGTGTAAACTGAGAATTTGGATCTAGTAAAAGTGATGGAAAATAAATACTGTTGGATCATCAACGTTTTAGTGCAAGTAGAAATAGCTAATAATGGTCAGCCATATTAATCGAGTAGTATTTGAAGACACGTAGGTGTAATGAATTTTCGTGAACAAAGCTTCATATAAACAAATTTATTCTATATTTTTTATTTATTTTGTTGTGTAAAATCGATTGTACCACCGTTTACTAGGAACCGTGTATACAGTATCTGGTGAGCTGAATGGCAAATAAATCGAGTGAATGAATCTACTATGAGACAACAGATTTGTTTTGCTGGGTGGCATGTACGAAGCTGTTCGTCTTACGTTAATAACACAAGGTATTTGATAACGAGGTCTCATAAAATATGTCTGAAAAGTGTGTCTTCTTAACAATGAGTCAGTGGGGGTAAAAATGAATGAAAGATTTATCAAGACCTTCTTGCTCAACATGGTTGTATTGTATTGTATTTATTGTATGTATTTTCGTACTATTAAGGTATAGTGACGGTACTACTTGTACAATGCAATGATAAGTACTAAAATATGAAATATGATTTTGTAATCATCGTCCTTTTCTCGTGATTAATCTATCACTGTAAGGGCATAAATGATAGTTTTATATCACTTATCACGTTTCTATGTAATATTGTAAGCAGAGAAAATTGTTATACATTTTTTACAAATTCATTATACAATAAACGATGGTGCGTAACATTTTGTTCTTACAACAGACAGTTGAAAAATCGATTCGTTTGCGATTCGTTAATTGCAACTCTCGAGGTTCAGGTGAATAGATCGTGATTTTAACCGTGTCTTCGTAGTTCCTTGTATTAAAAATATATTTGGGCTTATTACACGTAATTTCAGCTTTAATGTCAGAGCTGGCGAAAAAAAAGCTACACGAGAAACCGAAGGAAAATAAAATTAAGCGGGAACCATCGACCGAGGTATACCGGTCACGTCGAAATTAATTGCAAGTTTGACTATGTCCATGAAATTATTTCTAAGTAACAATTACTAGACCGTACTCTACCTTTTTAAGCTTTAAGTGAAAGATTCGGTGAGTAAAAATCTTCTCGGAAAACCGTAGAAAAGCAATTCGTTCGCGATCTCTAAATTAGAGCCGTCTGGCCCGCTTCCCAGATAGCACATGACGCTTTAAAGACGCCTATTTTACGGCTATTTTAGGTCTAAGACGTCTTAAGCCTTGCATGTTGCCTAATCTTGGGCTATAATAGTATCTGTCGCAGTTAGGGCTGTACGTACACCTGATTGCTGTTTCATCAATGGGCATTCGGTGCCCCGAAAAGTGTCTAGTTGTAAAATCAGTCGGGGTCCGTGTTCGCTAAAGCTCTAACGGGTATAACGGTTAATGAATAAGAACTACAATGACTTAATTAAATTGGAATTTAATTGATCTCAATAATAATACTGGAAGTTTAATATACAAATATAAATATATTATAAAATAATGTACAAATATACTCCGTTTTACAAACTATCAGACATTAATTATGCTTACTACTGTATAGACCTTGAAGGATGTAAAAATGGTTCGTGTAATGTTTTACAAATTCTTTCCGCTTTTTGTAATCCAATACCAGGACAAAGAGCCAGTGTATTTGGCTTTGCCTTTATCAATTCACTTAAAGATCCAAAAGTTGATAAAAGAGTTGTAGCATCTGTTTTATTGACTGATCGTATTGTTGTTAAAGCATTTACCAACTGAAAATAATAATTAACTATAATTTTTACATAACAAGAAAATAATTTTTTAAATATTTATATGCATTTACCTTCTGATAAGGGGCTGTATCACTTCTTTCCATAATTGCATCTGGTGGTTTATTTTCATAAATTTTATATGTTTCAATAATTTTACCAGCATCCTCTGCATTCCATGCTAACATCAGTGTCAGGTCCGCAAGAATGCACATTCTTGTTAAATGTTTTAGAGCATGATGAGGGTCTGCCACATCCACCTGAATATTTTATTAAAATAAAATTATTCTAATGCAATTATTCCTTGTTATAACTTCCATAAAATCACAATTTGATGATCACATGGAACCTGGACTAAAAGAACTCGAAGATTATACATATTTCCCAAAGATTTCAGTCTTTCATGAATATAATCAGGATTGAGCTGATGATATCGAATTGATAAAAATAATGCACAACTTGTTTTTCCCATTACATAGTCTGGCACAATTTCGGAAAATTCCCAAGGAACATTTGTTATGAATTTTAGTAGTGGATTTCCTTTCTGAAAATAAGTTCTTTTTATAATAAAGTGAAATGAGATATATTGCATAAAAAATAATTAATAACATCCACTTGCTAACATACTTGCTTCAAATTGACTGAAAGTGTATTAAATTTCGATAAATCCTTGGGGCCTCTGTTTGAAGGTCCTGGCAATTCTTCATCAAAAAATGCAGAGTTTTTTAACTCGCTAAATGCAGCTGTACATAAAAATGAATGTTGCACAGATACAAAAAACAAGTAGCAACACTTAACTTTTATATAATAAAATTCACCTTGAAAGGAAGATTCATTCTTTCCTTTTTTAGGTGGAGAAACATCATTATCACCCGTAATGCCCTTGTTTCTATCCATATTTGTTTCCATATTGAAATAAATGTTTATTAATAAACTGCAAAATTATTATAATTCTGACATACCAATGATTGTCACATGCTTCTATATAAATGAAACTGTGCGTTCGAGGTTGTAAGAAACCTGCGTGTGTGAAAACGTGGGGTTATAGCACCCCAGGAGCATGCACCAGAGCCTGTGTGAGTGAAGAAGTGGGGTCATAGAAACCCCACACATGCAGGGTCACTGGGCCACGTCAAGCACTTCTTGTTTACTTCATATTTGGACAGGTCTCACGACATTATATGGACAGCATTTGTTTTGACCAAGCACTCTACTTGTAGCTGAAAGAATGTAGATTAATCTCCTGTCAGTGGCAATAACAATAAACGACCAGAACATTGTTAAAATCAGATTTATTTGCAACGGTTGACACTGTATCTCGTCATGCGTACCCCGGTTAGTTCACTTTGCATAGCTCTTACACCGTTATACGGATAGCTTTCGTTTAGCTGAAGCACTCAATTTGTAGCTGAAAGTACGTAGATTAATCCACTATTATTGAAAATAACAATAAACAACCAGAACACTGTTAAAATCGCATTTAATCGCGGAATACCACTACTTTTTGACCGGTGGCGCCATCCGTGGCGAATAGCTGAAACTGCTGGCCAAATAATTGGCTAGCAGTTTCGGCGATTCGCCACGGATGGCGCCACCGGTCATAAATATAGTGGTATTCCGCGATTAAATGCGATTTTAACAGTGTTCTGGTTGTTTATTGTTATTTTCAATTACAGGAGATTAATCTACGTTCTTATAGCTTCAAACTGAATGCTTGATCAAGACGTAACTTGTCCATAGAACGTTGGAAGAGCTATTTAAAGTGAACTAAACAGGGTACGCATCGCGAGATAAATTGTCAACCGTTGCAAATAAATCTTATTTTAACAATGTTCTTGTAATTATTGGTTCCCTCCTGCCACAGAGTACTAATCTGCGTTCTTTAAACTTCGAATGTAATCCATGACGAGGAAAACTGATGCTCGTTTAGCTGTGTAAATCCGATCGAAACCTGTAGCAAGTACATAACCACTAAACAGGCAACACTTTTCTTCGTCATGCACTACATTCGAAGTTTAAAGAATGTAGATTAGTACCCTATAACGGCTGATTCGTCTTGACCAAGCACTCAACTTGTAG